ACAACGTACATCAACACCTCGTATTCACGCCGCGCATTTAGCGCTTAATGCGACTATCTAATTCTAAATCCATTATTCATGCAAAACTCGCGCGCGTTATTGCGCGAATGGGACATGGACGTTAAGCGCTTAACATCCGAGATCCGTGCTGTACAGAAAATTTGACGAACCGTTAGGGAACGAGTGAAAACGGATAAAATTCAGCGAGAACACGAGTGAAAGAGCAAATGAATAATGGAATGGTTTAAGCTTATCCACTTCAGATAGTTAATTGACAGGTACTGGCTGCTCTGCCTCCACAGACTGTCTTCAGCAACTTGAATGTTTCTAAGCCAAATGGTGCGAGGTATTTTAAGTCTCTTAGGTGTATTTTATGTGATGTTAGGATAAGCTTAGAATCAAGCAAATAGGATTTTCCTATTTTGTAATTATAAAATCTAATTCGTGAATGAAAAGTAACGTACGGTATGAGCACATGACATTAATTCCTCGAAATTATATCAATTTACTTCGTTTGCTCAATTTCCACATGTGACACGCGCGCACACGCACACACATACACACACACATACTCTCTCTCATCTAACTCTCGAACTTTTGCATGTAATGCAAAGCTTCGAGAGAAGCACTAGAGCGAGCGGATGGCAGTGACTGATACTTGCGTTGAAACTAATGGCGCGTGCAGAATGCGGATTCAGCATGACGCGGTCGATAGTAGACGTGCGAGGGGACGGGTGGCGAGAGTTGGAGGAAGAAGGATGATGTTTTGTTAACCACGAAGAGAAGCGGAGAGAAAGAGAGAAAGAGAGGGCTTGAAGGGCTACCTGCTTGCCCGCCCGTCTGCATGGGGCGTTGATTTTGACAAAGGGTTTAAATGCCTGGCGAGACCGCCCAGGCATATCTAATTCCGCACCCCTGCAACTCCCGGGCAAGCCGACGATATCTATCAAACTAGGGATGCACCGTTGCCCCTCGTGACAAAGAGCGCTGGCGTGGGAGTTGTTTTTCACGACCTAGCCCCTTTTGAAGGGTCATGCGCTTTTAAAGCCCTCCGCTTTCCGCGCTGCCAAGCGAGATGCAAGGTCATGTAAACAGCTTTCGATCGGTAGATATTGGAGATTGCCTCGCGGGAAAATAATCGATGCGTCGACCGATGCGATCCGTTAACGATGATGAGTATTTAAGGTGCGAAATGATTATCATTTGGAATCTCGCGTTATCTTGACATCGTGTCAGGATATCTTGATGGGAGAAATTAATTAAACGTAAAATTATTTCTTTCAATTCTATTTTTATCGTACTTCGCCTTACAGCGCCTTCTCTTAATGGCGTTACCGTTATCTTCTGATTTTCTATCTGTGAACTCGTGATAGTGTACCCCGTTTTATTTCATCATACTTATTTCAGAGGACAAAGGCAATTTGTCATGCTTTGTACGCGACGACAAGAATTTACATGCAAATAAACTGCGCGTATAGGTCTTACATAATGCAACGCGCTACGAAAGCAATCCAATCACTAACATACTTCGCGTTTGCAGAACATTAAAATGTTTTTTCTTTGTTATGTATAAATGTCTAATCTATCTTGAAAATGTATACGCAAACAATATCGTTCATCTGACAACAATACGATTTCGTAATGTTTTTACGAAATGATAATCGCATGCTAATAACCTGGTTATCGCTTCCGTTGAAAATTATAAGATAAAGTGACATTTCTCGTCGCGTTATCGTACTTAAACGTGAAATGCTGTTGCGTAAATATCGTATTACGAAAAAAATAATAATAAAAGTGGGCATTCGGCCGAGAGATGAAAGTACCGTACGAATAAAAATGCATGCCGCGTGCTGAATAAAAATTCTCTAATATATATATATATATTTTTTTAAGTACTTTTCGCTTCAGCGCATATTCCGTGCCAGCCGCGTAATCCCCGACCCTTTTCGATATTCCGATATTCACACGTGCCTTCCAAGGGATCCTTTTACTTTCCACTGGAATTTTGCCACCAAGATTATCCCATTTTCCATCATTCGGTACCGCCGAAGCGTAGAGTCATCACACGTTTCTGGGGAAAATAACACCCTGAAAAAATAACTTGCTAACTAAAGACGCTTTCGCGCCATCAAAAATACCACTTGTCTAATCGCAGGAAAAACACATTTGGAAAATTGACCTGAATTTTCTTTGCGTAATCTTCTTCACGACTTTTATATGAATTATTATCTTCTTTTATTTATTAAGAAACGCTGCTTCTGTCCCACTGGTACTCTCTAAAATGTCTCTTCAAAAGAGTAAGATTTCACTTAAAAACATTTAGAAAGTACCCGAGTCGAAATTTTCGTCCCATGTTGCGCCTTTAATTCTATTACATACAGTAAAAGAGGTCGAACTGCAAGTACAAAATTTACTCCTACTTTGAAAACTGATAGTATCGACAATTTCTACCTTTGCCAATTTAGCATTAAAGTCGGCCCTTTTAAGTAGAGGCTAAAGTAAATTTTGAGAATTAAAGATTGAAGGGAGGAGTAAAAAAATATAATGTCATCAAAGTAGGTTATTGCTGATCTATGTAGGTGTTACCAGTTAAGTAGGTGTAAATTATCCTTAAACGTGTCAAAATGTACCAAAATTTCGACTCGGGTAGCCGCGTAATGCCAACAATAAAAGGCCAATCTCTCGTCATACGTCGATAGGATAGAGACACCCGATAATCGCGTCTCGGTCCGAAAGTGACGGGCTGCAGCGACGACGTGACGCGTGCGAGCAACAACGGCGCGATACAAAGTACAGGATCACCGTTCAATTACGCGCGACGTAATACATGCGTGCAACGGTAGAACGACAAACCGCAGGTCGCTAGGAGACGGGATGCACGGATGTCGGGCTCATCCCGACGACGCGCCCCGCATCCGTACATCCGTGTGTCGCCCGCGTACAAATACCGTGTGTGCGTGCGCGGAGCGCACGTATCGGATAAACACACCCCACGCCGTGTGCAACGTCGTTGCCCGTTGCGGAGTGGTCCTCCCCCTCCGGGTAATAACAGTAAATCCCGAGTAATAAATCCCTCCGCCGTGTCTTCCTTCCCCACCCCCCTCCGTCCACCGCTCTGCCCGCTCGCGCGGTGGGTGTATGCGGCCGTGCGTGTGGACGCTTGTGCGTGGCCTCCTCCCCTTCACCTGTTCATCCCTCTCTATTCGCTCCCAACCAGTTTCTCCCTCGCGTGTGCGCACGCACACGCGCGAAGATGGGCATGCAATTTCTATCCGCTCGCCTTCGGGACCGAGTATACGTGTATGACGTGCATTGTTGTAAATTGCTCCCATGCTACGGCCGTGTACCTACCGGGTTAATCGAAGACCCCCTTGAACTCCCTTGAACTCGGACTAATGCAAAGGGAACCGGAAAACCAGTTGAACGTGCAGCGTACTACTGCACAATTCCTCGGATGAAATGATCCGACGTTGTCGATCTATGTACAAAGCGCGCTCTCGATCGGGGTCAGTAGACAAGATTCATCACCGCGATTGATAACGTACTGCCGTATCGCTGAGCATTTGGAATGACGTACGATTGCGTGGACAGCGATTCGGTCGAATAAATTAGGGAGCGATTTAACGTTGGTCCAATAACAATCCTTTAGCGTACACCCGGTTATTATGGCAACTATTACCGATCGGCTATCGGCTTTTGGATGGGCGCCAATTGAGCAGAAGATAATAGCATTACGTTATCGTGATTTATACCTTAGTTTCGAAAGTAGTACTCGACTTGAAAAATAATCCGCCCCAAGTATCGCTAATTATGCGATGAAGAAATTTTTGTTATTACATTTTAACTTTGCCGAATACAAAGTCCAATTTGTAACATCGCATCTCTTTCCAATTCCGTACGTCACTTTATTTTTCCGTCCGAATGAAAGTGATGATACGTCAGAGCTTGACTCGCATTACTCAACGTCAAAGATCTCTTTCTCTCTCTTTCTCTCTTTCTCTAACTTGCAATTTCGTGAGACTCGGAAGATGAATAACTTACGGAAGAATATATGAGATCTGATATATTGAATTATGCGAATATACCAAGCGAGGGTGGAAGAAGGGGGGGGGTGTGGGTTGGCTGGGTGGTTGCTTTATATAGCGTCCTGGGGTTACCGAGTTATGCGAATCACTGACTGCGCACATCAAAGGGATTACCTCGGTAAATCAGCTCCATAATCTCTCTGGACGGTGAACAGCCGATGTACCGGACAGCTGTAGGGATCGATCGGTTGCCCGCCACAATTATGCAGTCCGATCAAGGGTATCGAGATAACCTTCGTGCACAGGCATATCGAACGCGCGATAATCTACCGTCGTACCGTCGATAATTTCAATAATTAACGGCTGCGCGGCTGGTTCGCTTTCTTTATGCGTAATCAGTTTCCGCCGCGTATCATTATCGTTACAGATATGTACGCGTCGGCATATCATCATCCAGAATTACGGATTGACGATACGCAAAAGGAGGGCTACGAATGGAAAAAGTTTCGAATTGATGTCAGTTTTTATGTAACTTGTCGCAGAGGCGTGGGGGGGGGGGGGGGGAGCGTTAACGTTATGGTCTCTTAAAGCGTTCGGGTTAAAAGCCATTTCTCGTCAGTTACGCCTGGTTATGTCTAGTTGTAAAATCACGTGCAACGCTATTAAAGATTTACAGTAATATACGGTTACCCTTCCCGCACGTTACTGTACAATATCATAGTGTCATTATGAAATCGGGGCGTACAGTACTAAAGTTGTAAACTCTGATAGAGACCCAGTTAACGATTCGCTATCTTTCCCCGCACATTATAGTCCTGCGACATAGATACAGAAAATAGGGGCAGTTAATTTAAACGTGTTTTAACGTTAAAATAAATTCCCCCGGTACTCGATTTCCAGATAGATTCGGTATCAATTTCACTTTCCCAATGTGTATGCTATGCATACGTCACGTTGGCTTGTTTCCTGTTTCAGAGAAGAACAACGCCCGTAATAATCGACGCCGGCGCGTGAGCGAGGGTGCCAGTCGCGAGAGAACCGAAAAAGATTCGGCGGATACCGCGCTATCCGCGCGGCAGCAGGAGGACCGCGAGAATAAAGGTCCGCCGTCGGGCAAGGTAAGCAATCGCGTAGCGCGGCCGGTGTTAGAGGAAGCGAATAGTGCGTCGGGAAGTGTTTCGAAGCTACGAAGACGCGGCGCCGCGGTAAAAAGCCCGACCACCGATCACCAGAGTGCGGCGCAGCATCAGAGGCCGGTACGAAGAAGACTAAGGCCAGGAGGCGGCCAAGAGATCAAGGCAGACGCAGAGGGAGAGTCTGTCGAGCATCATCGTACCGGCGCGAGAGCCGACAAGGACGAACGCCTCGGTAACAGGTCGGAAGAGGAGGAAGAGGAAGAGGAGGAAGAGCGTCTCGAGGGAGAGGATGAAGAGAGTCAGGAACGTTGCGATCCACTGACTAAGCGGCTGAGAACAAGCCCCGTCGGCAGAAAGCTCCGGTCCGAGAGTAGTAAGGGCAAAAACGCCGAGGAAGCTGCAGCGGATCGGGCCAGAGGGTCGGTGGTGGAGGGAGAGGACGAGGAGGAAGACGACGACGAGGACGACGTCGAAGAGGAAGCGGGGGTGGGAAAACACGACGGGGCCGAACGAGAGGTCAGCAAACTCGAGGAGGACGAGGAGAGTCAGTCCAGGGAACGGGATAGAGAACCCGAGCCACCACCTCCGAATAAAGTCGATCCTGGAGGCGATCCGGCTTCCAAGGAGGACCAGCAACCAGCAGATAACAAATCAGAATCGAGAAAAGACGTTCGCGCGACCGATTGGGGCGCGGATAAAGTTGGCGAGGGCAAGGAACAACAACAACAGCAGCAGCAGCAGCAGCAGCAACAGCAGCCGCAACAGCCGCCGCAGTTACTCGTGAATGGATTGCACGTCGACTCGCCGCTGGCCAGCGACAAGACGAATGCCATCCGCGAGGGCAGTCCGTCGGTGCTGAAGTCGACTCGATCAAAGACAAAGGGTTTCGCGGAAGAAGACAGGGAGGACGTAGCGGCGGCGGCGGCGGCGGCGGCGGCGACAGAGGACGAGCGCGACGAAAACGCCAGCGAAGAAGAGGTGGGTTCGCAACGGTCGCGACGCACAGAGCTGACCACCACCGAGTTAGGCACGGAGGATAGCGTGGGTAGCGTCGGCGGTGTGAGGGCGGCCAGCGTCGAGTCGGTCGTCGAGCTGCTGGAGTCGAGTAGTCAGGACTCAGGCTCCGTGCTGGAGAGGCTGAGTCCGTTTAGTAGCAGCGGCGGCGGCGGCCCCGGCAGGCAGAGCAGCCTGCTCCTGGAACAGCAGCGGGAGCAGGAGCGCAGTCGGCACAACGAAAGCCCGATCATCCTTGCCGAGAGACTGAACAAGCCGCCACCGCCGATCGCCGGTCACCATCATCACCACCATCTACAACCGTACCACCAGCCGCATCATCAGCCGCAACAGTTTCATCACCACCATCAACAGCACCACCAGCAGCGTTATTCCGCCAACAGTCCGGTGATCCACCACCATCACCAACAGCAACAGCCGCCGTCGCAGCATCATCACTATCAGCTAGCGAGCAGCCCGCACCAACACCATCACCATCTCACCGCCCGCCTGACCCCATCGAGCCTCCTCGAGGTGCAACAGCAGTCTCACACATCGAGGGGCGGCGATGAGGCCGGCCTCATGGAAGTGGAGGCCGGGGCCGGTATACCTGGAGCGAGCGTACTCGCCGGTGTGCCCACGGCGGTCGGCGCGATACGGTCGTCGGGAGGCAGCAGCGGCGCCGTCGGCGTCGTCGTCGGTACTTACGGCGACAGCGGCTCCGACAGCGGGGTAAGCTCGCTCAAGAGCGCCGGTTCTGGCGACGAGAGGAGCGGCAGCAGGAGCTCGGCGCTCAGCGTCGAGGAGACGTCGTCCTCGACACCGTTGGCAGCCGCCGCCGCTGCCGCTGCCGCCGCTACCCCGGCCAGGATCTGGCACGTGCAGAGTGTCCAGCACACGTCCCTATTGATGGCGCATCCGTCCCAGGGCGCGCCCAACGCCGCCGCGAGTGCCGCAGCCACGGCGCCGCCGGTCGGCTATCACAGCCCGGCAGCGAGTCACCACGCCGCCGAGATGCTCTGGAGACCATCCCGAGCCTACCCGCCGCTTTCGCACGCTCTCTTGGGCCCGCCGCAACCATCCAGCCCGGACGAACTGCTCGAGAGAGATCGCCACGAAAGGATGCTTCGGTGAGTCCATTTTTTCATTATCGACCCTCTATGGAGGATTCGCGCTCCTGCGAATCTGCCAAGTTGCGTTGCCACGAAATTCTCAAACTTCTCGGCAATCGTATCGTAATCAACGTTTCTCTCGCGAAGGATCAGTTCGAAAGAAGCGACGGAGGTGCTTTCCGTAAAGTTGCGTCTCTTTAAATTATGAGCAACGATAAAAAGTAAAAGAAGAAAATTGATTCCCTATAAATAGCCACGTCACTGAAGGATGCTCTAACCTGACAGAAAAAATTTCTCTGAATAAATTTCAACGTCCCTTTACTCGGACAAGTAAAAATGGTTTCAAGCCGTGCGCTTGAGAGAATGCCAGCGTCGATACGTACTCGCGAATTTATGCGGCTCGAAAGTAGATCCGCGCCTCGATAAACGGCGCCTTGATAGGTTTGACGTTGCGTTACGTCTCCTATAATCAGCTCGGTCAATTGATGGTTGCAGCGCGATATGTAACGACGATAAAAAGTTTATTTACCGCGGCTACTTTTCCGCTCGACTACGCGCGCCATTAATAGCGCTGGCACATGCACGAGCGATTTCGAATACGCGCATAATAATGCATTGAACAACCGCGCGACGATGCCATGACTACGTTATGCCGATAATCTGAACCTTAGATTCGCTTTCCCCGCCGACGTGAATTGCCCGGCGCAATCCGTGACGTTTATCGCATTTCTTTTCCTCGCTCGATCAATCGCCTCGTCGATAACCTCGGCACAGAAATGATCTGAAACGTGCCAATGACACCCTCGATCCAACATCGCGAGTAACACGCTCCGAGGAGCGTTTTGCGTTTCGCTCCTCGGGCTCCTCGAATGCCCGCGAGAGACGGGGCGTTCCGCCCGTGCGTAATTTACCCGCTCGCGTGTCGCCGCGACAAAACGTCCCAGCCGGCCGGGTAGATCGTCGAAGGAAACGAGACTATCGTCCGGCATCGGGGAAGTGAATGCCCCCGACCGTTGTGGCAGCTGCATTCGGCGCTTTCTCGCCGTCCGCCGCGCCGGTTCTAGCCGCCGGACTTTCTTTGTCCGACTGCTCTCGCGTGACTACGTCAAGCGTATATTCGCCATTCTCGTTTCTCCTCGTGCGCGGGGAGGGCAGACAGGCGGATGCGCCTGAAAAAAAGAAGGGAAAAAAAGAAGAAGAAAAGAGGTGGACGGGCCAGGCTCGAGCGTGCGTATCCACGGCCGAGCGTTGCGCGCGCACACGCGGGACGTGTATCTACGTGCGTTTCCGGGCGCCAGCTGCGAGCCGTTCCTCCGACTTCCGCCGGATTATCGCGATAGAGACGAGACGAGGCCCGATCGAGTCATCATACGCGCGGCAACGCCGACAACGAGGCGGTGACCCGAAACCGTCGCTCTTCGGCTCGTATAAATATAAACCGGTGGAACACTTTACCAACACCGACGCCCGCTCGCTGATCGGCACGTGTCGATGACCCTGCCGGCCGTACGCGCTGGCCGTCTCGCTTGACCTCACCGAAGGCCGCCCGCCGAAACTTTCGGTGTCACTCGATTTCTATTGTGCGCGTCCCTCGATTTCTGCGTAACGGACGGGCCGCTTAGCGGAGAGAATGGAAACGGGTGAAAGTGATAACGCCGAGATCGCATTAACGTCATTTTTTTCAACGTTAAACGTGCGTGCAGCACTGAATCGCGGCTTTTTGTACGCGTGATCCTGGAAAGTTTCTCTGCCCCATAGCGCTACGAGTGCTCCTCGTACGATTACTGTAATTGGCGAGTTCTTCTCGCCAACAGTTCCGTTTTTCAATTATCCATAGTCAAAGTTCATCGGGTAGGAAGTTGCTCTGGAAAGTATCAAACTTGCATGCACTTTCTTCATCCATAACAATGGAAACATAGTCCAAGATAGACTCGGCCATGACTCCACGTCTGTCAATGGTCGTACGCTTACGTTTCGTTTTAGCGACGCATCGATCGAGAGAGGCGGTGTATAGGTTCTGCACGTACGGCTAACTAAAAGTTGGAATGTTTCAAACTAACTGCGGGGAACTTTAGATTACGAATAATTTAAGCACGCGAAACTGTTATCGCGACAAGGCGAGAGCCATAAATCGGGAGCTATCGATATCTTGGCATTTAAAAAAAGACCCGCTTAAAATATCCGTCCTTAAGGCTACGCTCGTTGGTTTTGACTTGGTTGACGCGAGGCTCTCGGTAGCGCTGCTTTCACTTTTACAGAGAGTGACGTTCAGTTTCACTTATTTTGGTCCAATTTCTCGTTGCGTGAATCACGTCGTCCTTTGAATGTTCCGCGACCAACGCTGACCCGGTATAGAAATCCGCAGCTCTCTTTTTCTCTCTCGCGTGTTTTCCGCGCATCGTTGAAACCGACTCCTCGCAACGAATCCGACGACCTGGCCCCGCGGGTCGAGTTCAGCGAGCATCTCGGCAGAAATAATCGATAGTCCGTGGATCGAGAGCATGACTGAGATATTAAGGCTCCTCTCGTAAGAGCCCAGGCGGAAAAGGGCGACGGAGGGTTTGGGTTGGCAAGCTATTAGACAACGATGATGACCTCCTACATCGTCTGCCACTGCTGCTGCTCATGTTCGAAAGAGAGAGGGGACAGGCGGCAGAGGACGTGCGTCGACTTGACAATATATTACATCAAGTTGGTGCCAAGTCTCTTTAAATATCGTTCCCGTATATTTTTATGACGTCGAACGTCGGCTGCGAATTACGGCGCTTTTTCGGATCGCGGTATTTTATTTCGGACAATAAAGAGACGGGAAGAGCAATTCACAGTGACATTTCTATATGGTAACTGTTGTCTCGTTATTTGCCCGCGGACGAGATATTTGTGTCCTCCGGCTGTCCTCCGACTTATTTATCATTTCGTGTAAAGTATTTATTCATGTTTCTTCAAAAATAGATTTTTATTTCCTGACATCTACGATAGCGAAGAGAAAAAAAATACCAAGGAGAACAAAGTCAAGATCAAATTACTGTTAAAGAATAGGAATATATAAGGCAGACTACAGCCGTCAGCAACTAGAGATTATCGAATCAATAAAATCAATCGATCAAATTAATTGTTGCGATGCAAATTGGCATCGGGTATCTTCGAGGTTCGATTCATCTAATGTGTAACATCTCCGCTGTATAATCGCGATTTTTTTCCCGCTTATGCAACAATGATGTGGCGGCGCGCTGGTATTCCGCGAAAATTAGACTGGCTAAAATTGGAAGCAACAGTTTGTCGGCAGACGAGTTAATCGTCTTCGCATCCTCGAGACGTTTTCAAGGCCGGAGCTGTCCGATAGCATCCGCGCGCGCGCACGCTCTCTCAGTTTTCCCTTTCTCTCTCGTCGGGGTACAAGCGGACTCACAGGGGGGAAACGTCGCAAAAAGAACGAAGACGCGCGGCAAGAGAGCTACCCTAATGACCATCGTGTAGCGACGAAGGTTAACTACGCGGTTCATCCTCCTGCGATCGATATCCCACGTTCTTGTGCGTCTCATCTTCTCCCATTCTGGGATCCCACCGGAGCCGGTAGCACTCGATCACGAGGTATTAAAGCTTGATTGATCGATGCATCTTTTTACGGGCTCAATCGCTGGCTTCGGCGATGAGTCACGCGAGACCTGAAATGCGTTCCCGAATACAAAGGTATGGTTAAGATTAATCGTGCGCGAGCGAAATTATTCTCGTTCCAAGAAAGGCACCGGTCGCTACGAGCCAGTTTCGACAAAAAAGCGGTGTGAGAATTTATCAGGCAAGATTAACGTTATCGAATATCTATCGCAAGGTCCGATATAACTGTAATTGTTTTATTGAACTGAATTATGAAACCGCGCAAAGATAGAAACCGTATCGTGTTACACCGTTCACGAGAACAGTCGCGAAAGGGGGAAAATTGGGGGGGGGGGGAAGAAAAATTTATAACGCTCTTAGTGACTCGTCGTAAAATATTTCGCTCGCTGAAGTGGCAAATGTATAACCGTATTACATCGTTAACGTTGCAAGATAACGTTCATTAACGGAGCAGGCATCAGGACGAGTTATCAGGCTTCGCTTCGCGAAAGCCATCGGCAAATTAAAGAGCAAATTTGCCCGGGATATCGATGAGGGATGTTGTTGCGGAGTTAGCCGGGAGAAGTAATCGCTCGTTACGTGTAACGAACAGGTGAAATTGGAAACTTGATAAAGCGGAGATACGGATCGGCGGCGGTCGGTTATCCGCACGAGAGGACGTCGCGGAACGCGACGCTGCATTTGCCAATATCACGCGAGTCTTTTACGCGTCGACTTCCTGGAATTCCCTGCGGCAGAAAATGCCGCGGGGACACGCGTGCACGCGCTCCGATGCTTTTCAGCGCACGTGACGCGATCGCGAAACAATGCTTTCTGCCGAGGTGGTCTTTAAGCGTGAATAAGGCCAATCTGTCGCGTTAAAGTTGCACCGAAGACGTATTAATGACTTGTGTAATTAACACGTTGGTTTAGAGAATTAAATGTGTTTTACAGGAGAGCAAATTACACGGTAATTTAACTGATTTAAATGAGAAGGAAATGTCCAAGTACTAATTTAATTTAAATAATGTCGCGGGTCCTGTTTCATTTACCTGCAAAGTATTTTGAGCTGCGTACGACCCGCCACTCAAATATTCAATCCCCGCGGTGCATTCGCGTAATTAGTACGTCTTTTTTTTCCGCCAACACGAGCCGAAACCGGCGTGGATGATCGGAGAGCTTCGCAATTTTGCCCTCCCCTTTCTCCGAGAAATCGAGCCTAACGTGCAGCCGTACTATTATCCTGTTCTAAATACGTCCTATTATATGCTCTCTTTCTCTCTTCTCCCGTGTAACGACCGCGATTTAACGCTTATGCAAGCCCGACCTCTGCGAGAGAGGTAATCAGCTGGCCGCCGAGTGCGGCAACAGAAACTGGCATTTGGGCACAAGGTCACGCGCAGCTTCTTTTTTATCTCTTCCCG